CTAATCAATTATTATAAATCATACTTTAGTTAATGAGTTATTGATACTTCAAGTGCAAAATGATGATATAAAACCATGATAAAAATGCACTTTTAAGTACTAATCAGGATGTTATCTTTAGGGGTTTGAGGAAACCTCCTTCTCTCTTTAGGGTCTGTGGATGGGATATATGAGGGAATTTTACAAGACCCCTATCTTTTGAGCACCTCTAGCAGGAGAAGTAAATAGGCCCTTATGAGAGGATCTTCTCTCCTCTCTACCATAAGACAATGCAAGTATAACATCCCCTCAAACCTTGAGGCCTAATGTGAGGGACCTATGTCTCCTATCTTTTTTTTCATGTTCTAAATGAAACTTGAACTCCTTGTTAAGAGTTGGAGCACTTCTCTTTCTTGAACTAGGCCTAGTGCTTTTAGGCTCCATTAATTCTAGTAGAAAAAGAAAGATCATTTAAAAGATTTTTTCTCCTTTTTTTTTACAGATTAGATAAGGTAAAAGTAAAGCAAAGGAAAAAATAAGAATAACTAGGGTTATAAAGAAAAAACCCTTACATTGTCACTTTCAGATGAACATGTCTTAAGAAGTCTACTCAAGTGCTATATTGAGTGCTAGCTATCATTTTGTTCCCCAAAATGAACCTTCTACCAATGAAAAGAAACCCTTGGATTTAAGGATCCTAACAATACTAGGAAGAATGCAAAAAAATCTGATGGGAAAGACAAAAAAGGTCTCACCTGTTACGGGCAGAGGCTTTTCAAATTTTTCACATATAATACACAAAGATTTGGGGAGCTATTAATAGATCAATGTTTATTGCTTTTTGTTTGTTTGTTTGAAATTGCTCTTCAAATAGTTGACCATGAGAAAGTTAAGACCCATCATCCTTGGGCTCAGCCAAATGCTGAGCTTAGATGCCTATAGGTTTAACAAGTTGTCAGACCCATCATTCACGAGCTCAGCCACGTGCTGAGTTTAGATGCCTATGGGTCTAATGAGTTGCCAAACTTATCCTTAGATGGCTATGGGTCTAATGAGTTGCCAAACTTATCGTCCCTAGACATAGCCAAGTATTGAGCCTAGACGCTCTCTGATGGATGAAAGATACTTAAATATAACTAATTCCTAATGTTCTGAATATGATAATTGTTATGTTTTTTTTTTTGGCTAAACCCTAATGAATAATCATAAACTAATTATAATATCCACTTTACATTTTAAAACATGAAAAGATGCAATTTTTAATATCGAGTCTATATTATACAGTGTAAGTCTACAACCTAATATTATGCAAAATAGTTGGAAAAACATGCAAGGGGTCATAAATATTTTAAAATGCTCTTTGAAAAATTTGAATTTTTTATATTATTATAAAGTTTATTTGGTTGGGCTGAACCTAGTCCGATTGGGATGAGATGATAGGCGGCTCAATAAACCTAGCCTTTATCTTTCTCTCTGTTTTTTTTTTTTTTGGCTAGGTTGGGCTTTTAGGCCATGTTTATTTCCTGGAAAATAGTTTTCAAGAAACCACTTTCCAAACTTTCCCGTGTTTACAGAAAACACTTTCTGGTCAATGGAAAATGTTTTTCAGTCAAAGAAAAATTTGGCTTGGTTTCTAGGAAAGTGTTTTCCTCTTTAGCTATGTTTGTTTTCAGAAAATGATTTTTGAGAAATTACTTTCCAAACTTTTTTTTGTTTATTTGCCGTTAGGAAAGTTGGTCAACGAAAAACATTTTTCAGTCAAAGGAAAATTTAGCTCGGTTTTCAGGAAAGTGTTTTCCTGAAACATTTGAGTGGAAAACACTTTTCAGAAGTTGTGAAAAATTTAGAAATGTCATTATTTGCTGATTATATCAAATTTGATCCTTAAACTTTTAATTGCTATATATATTTTGTTTTGAATATTTATTTTTCAATTTCATCTTTTAAAATTTAATTTTTATATTAACTTTGATCCTTATCTTTATAATTGCTATTTGTCTTTTCCTTATCATTTTTATTGAATTTTTTATCTATCAAATTTGGTCCTTATTCTTTTGATTGTTTCTTATTTTATTTGAAATAATTTATGAAATGTAGATTATTATTATTTTAATTTCTTCATATTTTATTTTTTTAAATTTTTTTAGATTTGATCTCTATTATTTTGATTATTATTTATTTTATTTGAGATAATTTATGAAATTATATATTTTTTTCAATTTCATTCTCATTCAACTATTTAATTTGTAAGATTCTTTTCTTATTATTTTAATAAGCTTGAGAAAAATAAAATATTAATAAGTTGTTTTCCAGTTCATTTTCCATGGCATAACCAAATACTAGAAACTGTTTTTTAACTTATTTTTCATTACACTACTAAACATCAAAAAGTAATTCATTTTTCCTGAATTCACTTTTCTGAAATTAACTTAAAAAAATTATTTTCTAGTAAACAAACAAAATTTTTAATTAAAAATATTTTATTTTGATGAAAGTATAAATCATATATATTTTATTCTGACAAGAGTATAGATTATATGTATTTTGTCCACATGTCAACCTTTCTTTTACAAGAAAGAGAAGTTATTGGAAGCTATAAAAGGAGAAAACAGAAATAATTGTATTAGGTTCAAATTTTTCTCTTTGCTTTTACGATGATAATTTTATTTTAATAAAAAATTTTTATTAAAAAGATAGTTGACTTTTTGTAAATTGATTTTAATTTAATTATTAAAGTGTCTCTGAATAAATTAATTAAAAAATATTTTTTACAAATATTGTACAATAACGATGATAATTTACCTATGTTTATTTCATAAAAAGATGGGTCAAATCAAATTAATGATTTTATCCCGAGGCGTGCAAGCTTACGGGATAAAGCATATACCCCATCGGCATGTTTTCAATTTGTTATTTTTGGTTTTGGTACAAGTTGGAAATGAACTAAAAGGAGTTTAACAAGCTGTTTACAATTATTTCCAAACAATTTTAATTAATCAACCTTGTGGACCCCATATGGAACCTTCATAGATCGTAGGGTTCTCTCAAACCTGATCACTAATGATCTGTGGCATTATTCTGCAAGTCAATGAAAATCTCTAGTCAATGGCCAAAATGATCTAATAAGTAAGATTTTAGTTTCCAAACAAAGGGCTTAAGTAGGCTAGTGTCCTTCTGAAACATCCTCTTTTGATGTTTTTTCCCTGACAGATTTCTCACTTTGCTGAAATCTTGATAAAGAATATATGGGAAACTTTTGCTCGATCTCCATATCATGCGATAAATTACTCTCTGGTTGCTTGGATTTCGCTTTCAGAAAAGCTGTCTACATATCCAAGCTTAAAGAAAATATCGATGGTTTGAAGATTGCAGTGGAAGAACTAACAGATCTACGTAATGATGTGACGAGAAGAGTGAAAGTTGACGAGGAGCAACAATTGAAGCGGCTAGACCAGGTACAAAGGTGGATTTTAAGGGCAGAAGCTGCTATAGATAAAGCTAATGAATTGCTAAGAGAAGGTTCCCAAGAAATTGAAAGACTGTGTCTTAGAGGTTACTGTTCCAAGAACTACAAGTCAAGCTACAGGTTTGCCAAAGAAGTGGATAAGAGGCTACGGGATGTGGCTGATTTAAAGGCCAACGGAGATTTCGAAGTGGTGGCTGAGAGGGTTCCTGCGGCTTCAGGAGTTCCAAGGCCCAGTGAACCAACAGTGGGGTTGGAGTCAACATTCAATCAGGTGTGGACCTTCCTGAGAGAAGAAAAACAGGTGGGAATTGTAGGGTTATATGGAATGGGGGGTGTCGGAAAAACTACCCTCTTGACTCAAATCAACAACGAGTCTCTCAAGACACTCGATTATTTTGATATTGTGATATGGGTAGTGGTGTCAAAAGATTTGAAACTTAACACTATTCAAGAAAGCATAGGGAGAAAAATAGGCTGTTCTGATGATTTGTGGAAGAATAAAAGCCTTGACGAAAAATCTGTGGACATATTTACTGCCTTGCGCCATAAAAGGTTTGTGATGTTGTTGGATGATATCTGGGAGAGGGTTGATTTAAAAAAACTTGGAGTTCCTCTTCCTGATATGAAAAACGGTTCCAAGGTAGTTTTCACAACTCGTTCCGAAGAAATTTGCGGCCTGATGGATGCTGACAAAACTGTGAGGGTAAATTGCTTGGAAGGGGACCATGCTTGGGATTTGTTTCGGAAAAAAGTAGGAGATCAAACTCTTGGTGGTCATCCTGATATTCCTGAACTCGCAAGAGATGTTGCCAGTGAATGTGGAGGTTTGCCCCTTGCGCTCATCACTATTGGTCGGGCTATGGCTTGCAAGAAAACACCTCAAGAATGGCGTCATGCTATCCAGGTCTTAAGGAAATCAGCTTCAAAATTTTCAGGCATGGGAGATGAGGTATTCCCTCTGTTGAAGTTTAGTTATGATAATCTATCCAAACAAAAAATAAGAAATTGTTTTCTGTACTGTAGTCTCTTTCCAGAGGACTTTCTGATAAATAAAAATGATCTGATAGATTATTGGATTGGTGAGGGAATTTTAGATGGAAGTGATGGCAGGGAAGTGGTAGAGAATTGGGGGTATCACTTTATCGGTTGTCTTCTCCATGCATGTTTATTGGAAGATAAAGATGATTGCGTGAGAATGCATGATGTGATTCGCGATATGGCTTTGTGGATAGCATCTGATATTGAAAGGGATCAACAAAATTTTTTCGTGCAAACTGGAGCTCAATCAAGTAAGGCTCCGGAGGTTGGAAAATGGGAAGGTGGCAGAAAGGTTTCGTTTATGGCAAATCATATAGAACATCTTTCAGAAACACCAAACTGCTCCAATCTTCAAACTTTGTTTCTTGGTAGTATTCATTTGAAAAAAATCTCCAGAGGTTTCTTCCAATTTATGCCTAAACTAACAGTTCTAGACTTGTCAAATAACAATTCCCTACTCGGATTGCCTAGGGATGTTTGGAAGTTGGTTTCGTTACAATATCTGAATCTTTCACGGACAGGCATAAAGGAGTTGCCAACAGAGTTGAATGAATTGGTAAAGTTGAGATATTTGAACCTGGAGTATACGCATTCGCTCTATCTACTACCACACGGAGTGATATCTGGCTTCCCGATGATGCATGTATTAAGAATGTTCCGTTGTGGTTCTTCTGAACAGGCAGCTGAAGACTGTATTCTTTCGAGAGACGAATCCTTGGTGGAAGAACTGCAGTGCTTGGAAAAACTGAATATGCTGACTGTCACCATAAGAAGTGCTGCTGCTCTTGAGCGATTGTCAAGCTTCCAAGGGATGCAGAGTTCTACTCGAGTTCTATACCTCGAGCTTTTCCATGATTCAAAGCTAGTTAATTTTTCATCATTAGCAAATATGAAAAATCTGGATGCTCTGCACATTTGTCATTGTGGGAGTTTGGAAGAGTTGCAGATTGACTGGGAAGGGGAACTACAAAAGATGCAAGCTATCAACAACCTTGCCCAAGTGGCCACAACGGAGAGACCCTTCCGCAGCCTCTCCAGTGTATATGTAGAAAATTGCTTGAAATTGAGTAACTTGACATGGCTTATACTAGCACAAAACCTTACATTTCTTAGGATATCAAACTGCCCTAAACTGGTAGAATTAGCAAGTGTTGAGAAACTGCCTGAGGTTCCTGAGTTGGTGGAAAATTTAAACCCATTTGCAAAACTCAAAGCTGTCGAATTATTATCCTTGCCAAATCTAAAAAGCTTCTTTTGGAATGCCCTGCCACTACCATCAGTGAAGGATGTCCGAGTTGTTGACTGCCCGTTTCTGGATAAGCGGCCTCTCGATACTAGCAGAGCCAGTCAGTAAAATGACTACACAGGGAGAAAAAACTGGTAGCAAGATCTGCTGAGATGGCAGAATGAAGCTACAAAAACAATGATTTTCTTCATCGCTTCTTCATATTGCACAGAATCGCAAATTTGTTTTAGTTCGTAATTTTTCTTTTCTGCCTTCCTTCTTTATCTCCCCATTTTTTTCTCTTGTTCCTAGTTTGTAATCCAGTCTTATCCACTTGTATTTCATTGAATTCTGAATATTGTTTGTTTGAGTGTTTGATAGTATCTTCTTTGTGTTCAAAGCCTGGTGTTGACAACATCCTCGCTCACTGAGTTCATGTCCAGATCCTTCAACACTGCTGAGGAAAACAAATTAAGCGAAACCGGAAACCACTTTATGTTTTTGAAACTGCAGGTCCTTGAATAACAATGGAGACAGATGCCCTGCATTATGGATGTGCATATATAGAAAAAAGTTCGTCAGACATTTCATTTGTTTAGGAATGCCCTTCCGACCAGTTCTGCAAACAAGTTCTATCAATTCCAAAACATGTATGCCTTATAGTAAAGGTTCTCAAAACTTTCAAGTGATAAAAATCTCAAAATGAAAGTAAATCGAAGTTTCAAAAGGATATTTCATAATAAATCCACAAGGATCATGCTACTATTCCAGAAATTGGTGGTCCATTCATTACAGGATTACATATTTTACAATCACAGCCAAATAATCCAACTGCTAGTAGTAACAATCATAAAACAACAGATCCTGAAAACAGGATTTTGATCTAATTGTAAATGATGATCACTTACAAAATGCATTGAAGATTGCATAAATTTCATGCGCACTCCTTTTCTTTTTGAGTCCAATACAAGTTCAATACATCCAGGACAAGTCTTGCCGGAATGACTCATATCTTGCAGCTCCTTGAACGCCTCTTCCAGAAATTTAAGGGCAATCTTCAACAGCTAAGAATTCCAATTTGTATCTCCTAATAAGAGGGCCCAATCCATCACCAGTAACTCGCCAATATTTTTTTAGTCATAATACACAAACGAGGAAACTGGCTCCCAAGCTGTAGAGGGCATCGCTAATCTAATTTCTTGACATCTGACATGCTCTCGGGTTCCAAGATTCTGAGCTGAACAATGAACTTCCATTCCACCGCCATTGAAGGAATACACATGGTCTAAAGCGAGTTCCTGAATTGGGCACATCTGAATTAAATTGAGGATTCCATTTTGTGTAAATGAAGATAAGGGACCAGACAGATTCAAGCACTGAACAGTTCTGAGCCAGGACTCTCATCTGTTTAATCTTAGTGAACTGTTCATCAGAAGTGGCAGAGAGAAATCTGAAGGAACTCGGAGAGAAATTGCGCGAAGATTACTTGTGTTTTTCGCTAAGCCTATAGTATCTCAATCTCTGACTCCAACACACATGTCCAAATGAATCTTCTCCAGGTTCTTGCGCATCCCCAACACACAAGCAAGCCCTTTCCCTGGGCTGATGATGTAATTCACCAGGTTAAGCTCCAATATGAACTCGCATGGATCCATTGCTTTTTCCATCATTCAACAGCTAGCCTATCATAAAACCTCACACATCTGTTCTTACCATCCACCTCAAACTGCAACCATTCAAGTCTTCACCAGTTAGAACCTAATCAAAAGAAACAGGGTGTGAATACTTTTAAATACAAAATATTTCTCTTATTTTTTTTAGTTTTGTCAAGTCAATGGAGTTTTCGATCTTAAAAATTAATGAATAAGAATAAATACACCAATCATTCATATATATATAAGTATGTGTGTGCGCGCGTTTTGGTGTAAAAATTGGTCAAATCTTCAAGCCAAAAGAGTTCACCAGGACAAAAAAAAATTAAAAAATTATTGGTCAAATCAAGATGAATTATTTTTACCGGGTTAACTTTGTATCATCATCATTATCATTTTAAGAAATTTTAAAATAATTTTTCTTCACGAGCAACAATTATTATTTTTTCATCATTTTCGGCTATACTTCATTACATTATAAAATAAAAAAAGTAAATATAAACATTGTCATCATCCAAGGTATCAATCGCATTCTTGACTAATGATGCAATAAGAGATAATAAAATTAGTAGAAAGACCACATTAGAAACAATTCATGGAATTATTAACAAATTATCAAAGGGTATGGCTAAAATATCAAAAATAAACATTGTCACTAGTATTTTGTTTTTTTTTTTTTTTTTTAATTCACCTTTCACCCTTTAACAATCAACCTTTTATTTATGTATTTATTTACTTTTCAATTTTTACAAAAGTATTAGGTTATTTTAGAAATTATATTTCATAATTAATAAAATATTAAAAGATATAGCTAAATCATTATATCAACAACTACAAAACATTATTCATTAGAATAATATTTTGTTTTCACTTTTAATTTTATTTTTTAATAATTTATTTTTTTACATTTTTTCCTTCAATATTAAGTTGTTTTGGGAATTATATTTCATAGTTTTTTTCTATTTTCTTTCTTTTGGGCTATATATTAGTCTAAAAAATTTAATATTTTTTTTTAATTTCAACTTTCATTATTAGATCAATTTGAAGTGGGAATTTATAATTTTTTTTATCTCTACAAATTTACCTTACTTTGATGACATAGATTACAAATTTAGTAAGTTAACTTGAGTTAACTTAGATAATTTTTTTAGTCTATTTTTTCTAAAAGATTTTTTTTTTCCTGATTTCATCTTTCAACACTGAGTTAGTTGGAAATTTGATCTTCATGTTTTGTTTTACTTTCTATAAAGTTATTCTAATTTTATGACCCGAATTGCTGGTTTGGCATGTTAATTTTTTTAATTCTTTTTTAGTTTAATATTTTTTAATTAGGCTTCATAGTTTTTTTATTTGATTTCTATAGAGTTATCTTGGTCCCATGTATTTAATTTCCTTTTATTAATTTTAACCTTCAACATTGAATCTATTATAAAAAGAGCTTTGTAGTCTTTTTTATTTTATTTTATGAAGTTATCGTAGTCTCATATCTCAAGTTATAGGATTAATAGGTTCACCCGAGTGGATTCAAGTTGTTTTTTTATTCTTTTATAATTAATTATTTTTTTAATTTTGTCCTTCAACATTAAATTGATTAAAAATTAAGTTTCACAATTTTTTTTTACTTGCATACAATCGGGCTATCTCGATCTCATTATCCATGTTGTGAGTTTGACAAGTTAATCTAAGTTGACTAGGTTATTTTTTTTTCTACTTTTATTTTTATTTTTTTAATTTCATCATTTAAAATTGATTGATTAAGAATTGACTTTCATAAATTATTTTAATTTGTTTTTTATAGGGTTACTACGATCTTATGATCTGAGATACAAATTTAATCAGGTTAATCTGGATCGATCTAATATGTCATTGTCTTAATATTTTTTTAAAAAAATTATCATCTAATAAATCTTCATATTAATATTAAAAAAATATCATTCAATATATATTGTAATTTGAGTTAATGATTAAAAAATTATTAGAAAACAAGTTAATAATGCTTAAATAAATTTTTTACGTTAAAACATTTAATCACCAGCAATTCTGACCAATGATCTAAATATATCACTAATCTAATTGGTTAATATATAATTTTTTTTTAATTTTTTTGTGATTAGCATTAAAATTTGTGCACTTTTTTTTATTCCGAATTGCTGGGAAGAGTCTTTTCCAAATATATCTGTTTACTAACTTTTTTATGGTCGCTTGACCATTGAAACAAAGGACAAAGGATTTCAAGTTTTCGATCCTGCTAGTGCAAAAAAAAAATCGTTAGGTACAATCTCGGATTTTTTTTTCTTTGTAGATTGCTAGGACTGAAAGCCAAGAATTCAATAATCATACATAATTATATATTCTGATTTTCATACATAAATCAAGAAACATGATGTCAAAATGTTTCAGCTTTACAGCATCCCGGGATTGGTTCTACCGCTACTCATTCGCCAAGGCCGGTCTTCGTGCCCAGTCCGCTAATCTGGGAGATGGCACCATTATGCATTGTTGGGTACCAAGAATCATCAAATCATCGAAACCCAGTCTTCTGCTTCTCCATGGCTTCGGAGCCAATGCAATGTGGCAATATGTTCAGCATCTCCATATCTTCACATCGCGTTTCAATGTCTATGTTCCGGATCTTCTTTTCTTCGGTGAGTCCTACACATCCAGGCATGAAAGAACCGAGTCTTTCCAGGCTCAATGCGTTATGAGGCTAATGGAGGCACATGGGGTGCATAGAATGAATCTTGTTGGGATCAGTTATGGAGGATTTGTGGGGTATAGCATGGCTGCACAGTTTCAAGAGAAAATAGAAAAAGTTGTGTTGTGTTGTGCTGGGGTTTGCTTGGAAGAAAAGGATATGGACAATGGTTTGTTTGCTGTTCCAAATTTGGATGAAGCAGCCAGCATTTTGTTGCCACAGACAGCAGAGAAATTGAGGGAGTTGATGCGGTTTTCGTTTGTCAAACCTGCCATGGGCATACCGTCTTTCTTTCTCACAGATTTTATTGATGCAAGTCCTTCTAACCTTCTGTGAATTATTAAATTTTTTTCGTAGGTTAGGCCCAATGAACAAAAAAAATTACCCTTCGATACATTGATGATAATCTTTCGGTTTACAGTCTGCAATGTTTCTTCTCTGACAGGTTATGTGTACAGATTATGTTAAGGAGAAGAGGGAATTGATTCAAGCCATACTTCATGGTCGAAACCTTTCTGTTCTACCAAAGATCACTCAGGTTCCTTACCATTCTTGATCTATCTAGTTCAAATCCTTGATTTTGTGCCAATATATAGCCTCTGACACTTGACAACAGAGGAGGCAATGGTGCTAAAGGATGTGTTAATGAATCTTTAAAACAATTTCGTTTCTTTCTTCTTCTTTTTTTCCCTGCAAAGCAGCCAACATTAATAATATGGGGAGAGAAAGATCAAATCTTCCCTGTGGAATTGGGGCACAGATTGAAAAGGTTAAAACAAAACTCTATGATGATTTTGGCATTTTAATTTCTGAAAATTTGAGTCTTTTTTTCCTGTAATCAACTATTTTCTTACAGTTTAAATTCTTGTACTACTCTTTTACAGGCATGTGGGAGAAAGTTCTCAGTTAGTGATCATTAAGAATGCAGGGCATGCCGTTAATTTAGAGAAGGCCAAGGAATTTGCTAAGCACTTAAAATCATTCCTCATTGATTCAGCTGCATTTCCATCTCCATCTCCAGGATCCTTGACAGATTTCATCCATGACAAGAATCAAGGATGAGCATTTGCTTAAAACAGGATGATTGAAAATATGTAACAAAAAACTATTATACTTTGCAAAATTGGTCAAGGCTTGGCCAAGGATTAAGGAGGCTCTGAATTCAAGTCCTATTTTTGGATAGCTTATGTTTTTCTAGTTCTTTGTGGGCTATCAGTTGTGGAATCTCTATTCGAAAAAACATGGTGGATCTTGGTTGATCAAGTCCTGGTGTGATTGACATGGCTGGTTTTGAGCATGTCCCCTTCCTTGTAAAAAGAAAATAAAAGGAAGCTGTCACATGCTATTTCAATAGGCTGTTGGAGTAGAAATTACTGATATTTGTTTCTTAAATGTAATGATCAAGGAGTGAATGTACTTGGAGGACTATTGAAGACTTCTCCATCACGGAAAATTCTATCACCGATTCCTTCTTCTTCTTCTTCCCCTTCTTTAGAAAACACCTTATTAGTTTACAATTATTAAACTGTGTAATTTTTTAAAGGAAAAAAATAGTTGACAAAATTGAAAAATAGAAGTAAATTGAATATTATAATTGCGTTTAGAATTTAGCAAACAGATTTTAAAAACATAAAATAAGGAATAGTGGTAGAAATACCTAAAAGAAAAGATGAAAATTAGGATAATTAATGAAAATACTTGACAACAAAAAGTTTTTAAAAACAAAAAATAACAATGATACCAAACCAGTTCGCAGTTGACCTACAAAAACGTTTCGTCCATCCAATTCAAGAGAAAAGCAAAATACAAGCAAGTTTAGCCAAAGCTCTATTCTTTGTTTGACTGGCTAGACTGACTATTCTAAACAAAATCTGCACTCTACATATTCACATCTAGGGTTTTAGCTCCACTCCACAACCTAGGTTAATATCTAACCCTAATATTATATGGTCTCGCTGTTAATTCAAACCCGACCAATTTTTTTTTTAATTTTATATAAAAAAAATTATATAAAATTGACCTGGTTTATTTATGATATAGTTAAAACTCTATTTGACCTTTTTTCTTGAAATTAATGTTGTTTTGAACTCATCCAATCTATAATTCAGATATTATATACCAAATTAATCTTAAGTTAGATTTAATAAATATATTTATAACTTGAATTAACATACTTAACCTAATATCCTACTCTAGAAGGAATAATTGTTAAACCCAAATTGAGATAAGATATAATTAAATTCTTGGATGAATAGTTATAAGTCTATGGTTTGATTGAATTGATAACTTAGCACGTAGTTGATATTATAGCAATTTTAATTACAAATCCTACCCAAATTAAAGTATGAATAATTAAATTTTCATATCAATTAATTGTTAATTGAATAACACCGAAGAACAAAGTTGGCAACTATATAAGAAGATCTTACAAGTGTTTATGGATATAGTTGGAAGAAGTTCGAGCTCTTAATTATATTCTATCCAATATATGATATTTTACAAATTATATATCTGATTCATTTGAATATATCATGTTAATCTAAATCTTTTATGAATATTATAGTTATCTATGAGTTAAGCTTTATATATATATATATATAAAGATGGTTACTACTCATACACGTAACTATTACTATTTCATACATTTATATTGTTCTTCTATTCTCTAACTTGGAATCAAAGTAGACTTGATATTCCTCTTCATCATAGACTTTGCAAGCATCTAAAATATGGACTCTCACATGGTTGCATCGGCCTTTTCTTTTGTTGCAACAATCATTTCTTTTGGTGGTGTATTGGTTGCTGCTGCTGCTGCTATTTTTTCTTTTAGCAATGAATCACTCTCCTTTGACATTCATTTTCTATCGCAGCCATCAACAACATCTTGGTTATTGCCTTATCAAGCATCTACTCTATTGTAGTGGTTCCTTCCTTTAATTTCACAATAACAGTCAAACCCTTTCACACGATTGTTTCTCTATCAAACACTCAACAAACAATCCCTTTAAAATTATCAAACACAAATTTCTTATACTAAAGAATGCAGATGAAACCTTACTTGATAGGCCAGGGTGTGTACTCCTATAATGATGGCTCTTTCCTATACCCCCTTGCATATGTACCATCTATTGATATGGCTTTATCTAGTCTTAATCTTTCATATCTGCCATGGAAGCAACAAGGTCAATTGATTATGAGTGCTATTATATCATCTTTGTCTACTAAAATGGTGCATCTTGTCATTGATTTCCAGACATCCCATGGTATGTGGACAACTCTTGAAACTTCTCTTGCTTCACCCTTTACCTCATGAATCATGCAACTTCATGGATCTTTCAAAACCTGAGGCAAAATGCAGCAAACTAAGATGTTATTTGATAAGCTTGGTGTTGTCGGCAAGCCATTGTTCATGAAAGATCTTAACCTCTATGTATTTCACAGATTGAGAGGATAATTTCAGGACCTAGTAACCACCCTCTCCACTAGAGTAGAACATATTTCATACACTAATCTTCATAACTATCTTCTCACATATAAGTTTCTACACAAGGCTTCTTTTTAACCCATTCTAAGTTTAAGGGAACCAATAAACCTCCCTATCATTCCTTACGTAGGCCAAAATGAGAATTCCCTGTCTTTGAGGGGGATGATATACTAAAATGAATTTATAAATGCAATCAGCATTTTGATGTAGAAGAGTTTGTTAAGCATGATAAGCTCAAATTAATCTCTTACTATCTAGATGTAATGACTTTGTGTTGACACCAAAATTTCATGAGAAGTCTGGGGGGACAGGTAGTGTCATGGCCCGAGTATGTAGAAGCTTTATGTTATAGGTTTGGCGGGGAAAGAAGCTCATTAGAAAAACTCATTAAATTAAAATAGAAAAATCAAGGACTTTGACATCCTCTGGAATCGATTAGAGATTTTTGAAAAAAATGCACTGGTATTTTTATTAGAGGATTAAAAGTCAAGGTCATAAATCTGATCAAAATGTTCAAACCAAAAAATCTTAAACAAGCTTGCACTCTTGCCTATTTACAGGGCAACACCCTCATTTACCAATGCTATAACTCCAATCCTAATAAATAAATCTACCAACAGGGGCGGAGCTAGAAAAAAAAACTAAGGGGGGCAAATTAAAAATTAAAAGAAATAAAGTTAAATTTTTAATTATTTTTACAATATTTACAGGGGAGGGGGCTGGGAAAAAAATTTCCTGCAGGGGTCGGGGCCCCTGCCAGCCCCCCTTGCCTCTGCCACTGTCTACTAACCAACTGCATACACTTATCAAAGTAAACCATGCACTTCCCCCAACTACAACAAAAGCCTAATAGGATCTTCCAATAACACCTCTAAACGATTTTCCAATGGCTTATTACCTACTCCCTTACCCTATAACACAAACCCAATTAGTACAACCACTAGACCTATTAGAAACAAAGGTTCTGGCCTAGCGGTGGGAGGGGCTTGTCCCCTTCTTCCGCACCTGGGTTCGAACCTTACCATGCACGCCTGTTACCCCCGCGGTGCCTTACCTGCTCACTAGGCTTGCAGGATGTTCAGTGGGCCGTGGGGATTAGTCGTGGTGCGCGTAAGCTGGCCTGGACACCCCACGTAAATCAAAAAAAAAAAGAAAAAAAAAAGAAACAAAGACTTAGATGAAAGAAGGGCTAAGGGTCTTTGTTTCTGGTGTGATGAAAAATTTATTCCTGGCCATCGTTGCCAAAACAAAAGGTTGTACTCCTTGTGTGTTGTTGAGGAGGATGAAAAGTGTAGTGAAGGGGAAGGGGTGATTGAAGTAGAACAAGTAACTCATAACCCACACTTGTCTCCTAATGCCCTAGAAGGGGTAGTAGGATTGAATACTCTACGAGTCACTAGCAGAATGGAAAAACAACCCTTGTTTATTTTGGTAGATTCAGGGAGCACCCATAACTTCATTAGCAACCAAGTTGCAGAGAGGTTACATTGCAGACTCACTAGCATTAAGGCCTTGATTGTACAAGTTGTTGACATAGGACTCATGACTTGTTCTTTTGTGTGCAAAAACTTTTAATAGTCAATGTAGGGGGTTTCCTTCGAGATTGATATGTACATATTAGACCTTCAAAATTATGATGTGATCTTGGAAATTCGATAGCTGGCTAAACTAAAGACCACTGTCTACAATTATTTATATGGCAGGGCCAAGAAGTTTGTATTGAAGGGGACAAACCGGGAACACTAGAGACTATTCAATTAGAGCAACTCAATGGCCTGTTATGTAACACCAGATTGATAGCTGAAATTAGTCTATGTAGCCTACATAGTATTGATGGTGCAGGCAATGAAGAACAACCAATATCCACCAAGCTACAACCTTGTGCTCTTTAGAATACTGGTTAGCAGCCTTGCAGGTGAACTACCAAGAGATTTTTGAAGCACCTGCCACCTCCTCGTAGCCATAATCACAAGATAACTTTAAAGAAAGGTACTGATCCAGTAAACCTTAGACCCTACAAGCATTCAAGTTTACAAAAAGATGTGGTGGAAAGGATGATTCAAGAAATGATGGATTCAGGAACTATTTAACATAGTTATAGCCCTTTTGCTTCTCCCATAGTTCTAGTCAAGAAGAAGGATGGGTCCTAGCGGCTATGGATTGACTAAAGGGCACTAAACAAACTCATAGTGAAGGATAAGTTTCCTATTCCCCTAATCGACGAGCTATTGAAAAAATTGGTTGGGGTTACTATCATTTCTAAGACAGGCCTTCGATCGGGTTACCACCAAATCAGAATGTCCTATGAGGATGTTTACAAAACATCATTCAAGTCATATAATAGGCACTACGAGTTCCTAGTCATGCCCTCTGGGTTGATTAATGCCCCGGTAACATTCCAAAGTATGATGAACAAGATCTTTCGGAGCTACTTACGAAAGTTTATTCTTGTATTCTTTAATGACATCCTCATCTACAACAACACCCTATCAAACCATTTAGGCCACTTGAAGACTGTGTTTGAGCTTTTGAAGATTAATGAACTGTATGCCAAGGCCAGTAAATGTGTTTTTTTTAG